CGTGAGCCGTGGAGTTTAGGAGGGAAATTTTGAACGTGAAAGGCTGTTTTAGGAAGTTTATGATTGTCCTTTATGATTAATTTTGTATAATTAGGAGTTTGGGGGGAATTAGCTCCTCATCTTGAATTTGAGTTTTCTCTTTGAGATCTAGGTTTTGTTTTGGGCTCTTGGCTTCGCCGGAGACTTTGGAGAGTACGTTCTTCCTCTCGAATCGAAGAACAAATTGTATCTTTGCTATTTCCATCGTCTACTAGTAAAATACCGGTGTTTTCTCCTAATCTCCTGCAGTTTTCCTCTTTTTTTCTACTGTTTTGGCTGATTTCCTGCTGTGGACAGCAGCTCGCCTTGAGTTTTGTTGCTAAAGTGATTAGGGAATACTTGAAATCAAGTATTTCCTATCACTTAACCTCCATTATCTCACTGTTATCGCCTAACTATGGTTTCTTGACCACTATCCCTCAACTATAATCTCCTAAACATCATTGCCCAACTATCATCACCCTATTATGGCCTCACATCTACCAATGCCCAAATACACCAACACCAATTGACTTTGTCGCCCGTTGTCTCCAATACCACTGACGCATGTCATCACCTATAAGGCTGATACATGCTTTGGCGTACTACATAACTTCTAAAGCTAATGCATGTCATCAATACCAAGGATGGAAAATGCCAATTTTGTTGCATGCTATCACTCATAACATCTATGCAGACCATCGCCAGTGAGGCCTCTGCCTGTTGTCAACACTAACTTTGACTCCAAATATTAACATAAAGATTATACTAGAATTATTGGTCTATGGTCTTCTCGCCTAAAAGGGGAATGAATGAATAGACCACAAATGATAATTTAAAGATAATAAAATATCACAAGGCTCTTCTAACTTCCACCATGTAGTCCACCTGCAAATGTTCACATATGCTCCATTGTATCAGCGCCTTCTTAAATTAAGGCGAAGAGAATCATTTATAACAAACAATCTACCCTGGTGGAATCATTTCGTTTAGGACAAACCACGTGATTTTTTCACTTTCCTAATTTTCCACTTAAATACTCTAATATCTCTTACAAACTTCTATCTATGCGTGCACGTATGTGTATTATATTTTTAATTAAAATAATTGAGCTATAAATTTTTAATTTAACTTAATTTATAATAACAAAATATATTTCTTTTTAAGATTTTTCTTAATTTTTTAAGAGAAAAATGTCGATTTCTCTTCTTGCAATTTTTTTATTGCTCAAGCACATCAGACTTTATTCGCAAATTGAGCACACAAGTAAATTTTTTGTTTTGCTTTTGTGTGATAACCTAAATGATATGGGAGTCCATTTTGGAAATTCTCAATGGTCCATACATGTCAATGTAATCCATTTTGCAAAATGGATGACAATTGAGTATTTTCAATATAAGCGAGGTATTTTGAAACAATTTCACATGACACTGCATCTATTGTCCATAATTTTCATAGTATGGGCAATAATTGAGTATTTTCAATGCAAGCAAGGCATTTTGAAATGATTTCGCATGACATATAAAGCTAACAAAAAAGACTTGGGATAAGGCTAATGATGATGATGAAAGTTTGAATAAAATGATTAAGGAGCTGACCTAAGATAATATGGATAGAAGTTATCCAAAATAACTTGTGAAGAATAGGTTTAACATCTAAGGCAGCACTCAATAGGAATGAACAAACAATGATAATTTAAAAAAAGCTAACCCAAAATAGTTGGTAACAAGGTTAATGATGAAGATTCTAATAAAATAAATTTACGTTGTACAATAAGTTAAAATTATAATATGATGATAAAAAATGTGCAATATTAAAAATAGCAGAGTGAACAGTATATTAATGAGAGAAAAGAAAGAAGAAGAATGATCTAACCAGGACTCTTGTAATCTGCCCAGTCATAGGAAGAACCGATAAAATACTGATTTTCAATATAAATGAAGTGCTCTGCAGATCTGATGGCCCTAACATATGCTGTGTGGATGCTTTTGTCAATCGCCACGTTCTTTCTAAAAAACAGATGCTGCATTGGTCCACATATAGAACAATTAGGACACCAATCGAAAACCTAGAAATATTTATCCTATCATCATAGAACAGAAATTGCAAACAAAAAATTTTTCTAAGGTATGGCATAGGATTTGTAAGCATGTTAGGATCGAAGTAAAACCAAAGAATAACATCATTTTAACTGAAGCTTATAAAAATATACAAACCTGACTCTCTTCATAATGAGCGTGTCTGGGAAAATCTGCCACTGAACCTGAGTCTATGGATCGAAAAATCTGAAACCAAAATGTTGATCAATTCTAAGATTACCATCCAGCCGTACGGGCAGGGTGTGTATAGTGATAACAAACCTGTACATCCCAGCTTTCAGAATCATTTTCACTAGAAACCCATAGACTCGGATCATCATCTGGAACAGTGGAAGGATTGAGTATCCATGAAATGCGCTCTAGCTTTATTAGTGAATCATCTTTCCAGTAAGATTTCCATTTCTTGTTTTGAAATAACCATAATTTGTTTGCCGTATGCCAGCGTTGCTCAAAGTTCTTAAGTACATCATAAGCAGCAGGCCCTTCAATTTTGCAATGCAAGTCATGCCATGGTTGTCTCGGGCCTCTAGTTCCTGGCTACAAAAGCCTAATAGAAGGTTAAATATGGATTCGGAGATGATATCTATTGAAAAGAGATAGAAACTATCAAATAAGATAACTTGTACAATAGCAGAAAATGTATCTACAGATTATGCTGTAAAGATTCTAGTGAGCCCATACAAAAGCAATAAATTTTCTTAAAAGTTTTTAATATTCTATGATTCATTCCTTATAATCCAATCAAAATTTCAAAAAATACAATCAGATACTGTGGATATCTCACTCAAGATGCCCAATATAACATCTTACCAGCCTAATGCTGAACTCGATGTGTATGGCAATGCGAGAAACAGAAGGTTTCTGTCAAATTAATTGTTCTAAACTTTGATTTTGAATTTCTAATTATAATCATGTGCTATGATGAGCATAATTTTTTATGGCCAAATATAGGGCCCTAATTTTTTTCCTGCATCTGATGGTTCCTACCCTTATCGCTTTTCAGCAGCTTCTCTTATCCTCCTATTCATTAGGTTTGTCGCTGTTCAAGTCCTTATACTATTTTAACTGATTATTGCTGTTGGAGTACTTGTATTACACCGGCCAAACTCCTGATTATGCTGAATTTGTGGTCTGCTGGTCTTGCAGAACTGCAAGTATTCCGGAGGGCTTTCTTATTTATTCCTGATTTTGCAGCTCTATAAACAAAACTTTTGAGTTTTCATTCCAGAATTCAATGGGTTTCACAGAATTTTCTGCGGATCTTTAGGGAGAGTTATTATGGTGGAATTCGATGCAATCCAATCCACTTGTATGCATCTGCACATTATAAAGCATTTAAAATAGTTCTATGGCGTTAATAAACATTTCTTTAGAGTGTATAGACCATTCTTCATCTTTTTTTAAATTCAAATCCTTGATCAAGTGGGAGAATAATATTATTTTCCCATGAACTCTATATGATTTCAAATAAGATTATTTTCCCATGAAATCAATATACGTTGATTGCCTCTAATCTAATATTTCTATAAAATAGAAGTTTTGTAAATAGCTTAACTCAACATCACGTACTAAATTTGCATTTGAAACATTAGACGCTAGAAAATCCAACATCAAATCTGGTATCAATGGCTAAGGTGACTTTATCTTCTAGAAAAAGGGATCATATCAAGATAAGTTAACATATCAACAAAAGTATGTATTTTTTTTATTTAACATACAACTACAACAATAATTACTTGAAATGCAAATTAAATAAAACCAATTTAGTTATGGTTCTAAATAAATTTTATGAATATAATGGAATCAGAAAAATATTTCAACATTAGATAGTTGCTATAATCTTGAAGCATTTTTTAATGGAAAGGTGAGTCAAAAGAACTTTTTAAAGGTATAATATGTTAAGATTTCATATAATGGATTTTTAAAAATAAATTGATGGAATTAGAACAATCAACCCGCCAACCCGTTTAATTCAAAATCTCGCGCTGCCCGCTGCCTGCAGCGCACCTGCCCGCTGCGCGCCCGCCCGCTCTACCCAGGTCGGGTTAGGGTCGACCCGCTTGAACCCGGGTCAGTTCCGGGTTCGACCCGAACCCGACCCGTGACCCGAAATTGACACCCCTAGCTATAATGAAAAATAAACTGAGAAGATAATACATGCCATTCAACAATTATAGAGATTATTTGCATGATCAATGTAAGAACTTTAAGCAAGATGACCATAATATGTTTCAATATTTTCTTAGGTATTAAAAAGTAGGAGTCGAGCTTAATTTGCCAAGAGAATGCTTTTATCAATAGCTATTTCATTAAAAAGTCTTAGGAAAGAAATTATTTATGATTTGAGCTATAATTCACCGATCATAATAGATGAGTCGTACAAAGCTTTAGAGTTATAAATATATTTCAATTTTACTCTCTTCAGGACTAAGGCACATTTGCTTAGTATTTTTAAGGAAAAGCTTTGTACACTTCATCAACTGCTATCACATAAGCACCGGTTCATTATGAGATTAAGTCTGAGCCAATTGAAGATGTTATTAATATATAAAATATGTTAATATCCTTCTAGAACTAAAGGATGATTATAAAATAAAGAATAACTTTATATCTAACATAAAATTTGAATTTAAAGTTGAACTTGCACTACTATCCACATCAAAACCTATCCTAGAGTTTGCACTAGATTTTGTACATACATATGAATGAGAAACTTAATAAGAATCTAAACCAAAATCTAAAACAAAAGTTAAACATAAGATCATATATAAACCCAAATATAAATCAGAATCTAAACCATCTATAACCTTGAAATTGAACAAACCATACCTATTAAAAATTTTATTATTTTGTGATCAAGTAATTTTGGGGCATCAAGGGAATGACAGCCTTAGTAGTTTGTTATTATGGGGAAAACCTTATGTTAGTGGGTGGAAATCCCCTCTAATAAAATTTTGATGTTCACATGGTCATTATCGTGCAGAGATTGTAAAAAAGAGTATTCATTTGATTTTGTGGGGTAGAGTATAGGAGACAATGGATTTGATGTTTGTGGGGTTGGCTCTACCTCCAATTACGATGAACATACATTTTATCCAAGGATAGTTTGTAGGATTTTATGGATTGAAGCACATGAGATAGCTTGTAAGAAGTTTGATATTTGAGTTGCAGCTTCAAATTGATTTGTAAGGTTTGACAAATAAGCTCCCTATGAAGATAGCTTGTAGATAAATTAAGTTGGGCTGCAAGCCAGATAAGCTATCCACTGAGATAGAAAGTGAGTGGATTGGATGGCTTACTGGGGATAAATATACGTTGATTAAATTTGTGTTAGAGGTAGATGGTCGCTAAATTGATTTTTGAAGGGTTTGATAATCAGTGTCTCTAAATTCAAAACTCTCTGAAAGTCAAAACATTTTATACGGGATGATGATTGTGAGACATCCTTTCAGCAATTAAAAAGATTTCTCACCTTTAAGCCAATTCTCAATAGCCCTAAGCAAAGTGAAGACCTATTTATGTATCTCGGAGTAAAAGTTCATGCAGCTAACTCAATTCTTATTTAGGAAGAAGCAGGGAAATAATATCCGGTTATTACTTCAAAATTCTAGATGGAACGGAACTTAGCTACGTAACCATGCCAAAACACATTCATACTCGTATGACTACTTCAATGAACTCAAAGCCTGCTTCTAATCCCCAAAAATCCTCATAGCAACTAACACCTCTGAGAAAGATGGAACACTCAGGCAAGATAATGAAATGGCATAATGAGCTCATTGAACTCAAAATTGAATACAATCCTTACATTATAATGAAGATAACAGAACTTGCTAAATTTGTTGATGAATTCTTTGCACCCAAGGAAGGCTTCCGATAAGAAGTTGAAGAAGATGACATTTGTATCATGTAATGCGGTCTCTAGCGAAACAAGTGATAGAGTTGGTATAATACTCAAGAGCCCACAAAGTCTGTGTTTCTTCAATCTCTCAAGTTGAAATTTGGGTCATGAACAACCAGATCGAATGCGGGCCATGCTCAGTAAATTCCAAATCCCTCTCAACTTTAGAGCTAAGATGTTACAAGTCTTCAACGATTCCCAACAAACCATGTCCAAGGGAACTATCAGGTTTGGGATTCCATATTAAGGAACTATCTTAAGAGAATTAGAGCTTATGATGCACAGACACTTCGCCTCAAAGAAGCGTGTAGTGTTCGACACATATATAACACGACATGCGTCCGACATGACTTTGGCACGTGTCAGATACGCCAAAAACGTGTCTAATTAAAACATATTAAATACAAATTGGACACGTGCCTGACACCTGTGTCTTAAATACTTTATTTTTTTTAAATATAATTTCTTGTATTTAAAATATTTTTATTTAAAATATAAAAAATAAATTTCTTATTCATATCAACAACACCAAATCAATCGCCCGCACTCAATACCCATTCATCGAATATTCATTTCTCTTTGGAAAGTCGCAACTATGGTTTCACAACATGAACAATGTCATCTCAACATCGATGTTTGACGTCGTTACAACATCGACATTTCAAAACTAACTCAAATTTGCACACCTTCACATTAATAAGACTATGATGTTGAAATGGTTTTGAAATATCGATGTTGTAACAAAGTCAAACATCGATGTTGACTCGTCTGCAAATTTTTTATCACTCACACATCTCAATAAGAAAATATTTTGGTTATTAAAGTAGAAATTGATTATTTAAGCACCGGTTCTTAGTAAAGAAAAAAAATTATGAAAATCGTGGAATGGAATACCAGTTTCTATTGAAACCGGACAATGAAGCTCCGGTTTCAATAGAAATTGAAAACAGGATAATGAAGTTCCGATTTCTATTGAAACTGGATAATTAAAATCAGTATTTGCTCCTTTTTAAATTTTTCACTAACACGCTCCTTAAGCGAATTTAAACTTAAAATATGCTCATTTTTATAAATTGGCCTGCGGGTGTCGCTGTCTGGCGTGAAGATGGCAGGCGCGGGCTGCTCGCCTGTACAGGAGGCCGACAGGTGTCTCGGGTGTGAGTACTGGGGCAGGGTGTTCACACATGCGGGAGGCGGACAGCAGGCGTACGGGTCAAAGGCGAGCATGCAGGATCACGTGGGTTGGAGGCAGTTTGGTGCGGAAGTAGCCGCGCAGGTGTGGGAGCACGGGCTCTGCATGAGTGGTGCTTTGGCGAGTGCAAGCAGTGCTGTCAAATGAACAAAGAACATATGAGAAAGTGTGTTTGTTTCTTTTTTCTATTTTCATGTATTTAGTATTAAACAAACAGATGTGTCGTTTCTAAAGGATTGCATCCGTTTGATCAATCTCTGAAACAGTGTATTTGTACTTTTTTTCTATTTCAGTTTTTATTATTATTATTTTAAATTAGTTAACACCCTTCATATAGAAAATAATACAAACCACTATAATGCTTCAAGAGAATAAATGTTTCATTATCCTATCCCTCAAGAATCCAAGGGATAAATGATAAAGAAAAAGTATAAAAACAAGAAAAACATATCTGTCAACACAAGTCGAAGTCCAATAATAAAGAAGGCACAATATACCAAGTGATTTCTGAGACAAAACCCAACTATTGAAAATGAAGTAGGAAGGATATCCTAAGGAATTTAGAGTGACCTTAAAAAAATAGAATGTCTATCCAATCAATTCAGGTACTAAATCAACACGGCACATGAAGCCAAAATTCTTTTTAGAAAACGCATCCATAATGTCCTTAAATAAAACCAACCAAAATGGTGATAATAAGGGTCAACACTGATGAACAGTGTTCTCAACCATAATTTTAACAGTCATGAAACACAACCAAAAGCTGATTTGAAACTCATTATAATGAGTTTTTTGCACCCGAATTGGGAAAAAACAATTTGTGTTTAGTTGGTAACAGAATAAGGGCTTAAATAGAAAACAGAGATGAGATTTATCATATAACTGATAAAAACAGAAGTAACTTACAGGAATTGCAGGGTTGTGAAAATCATCTAAAAAAGCAGTTTGCAAATCTTTAAAAAGCCTGTGTTCTGGCGTGTCATAGCGGCCCTTACAAAGATCAAGGCCTCCAATGAAAGCAGTGATCTTTCTCATATTTGGAGAAGCATGCGTATCAACAAGCAAACATTTCTGATGGTGTGAAAAAATGGTCCCCACAACCTAGAAAAAATAGCCAAAAACTCCATTATTGCAGTATTTAAAAAGAGGGTTAAACTTATGAAAGATCTTGAAAAAGGTAAAGATCTTGCATGATAGTGAAGCATGTCAAACAAAGGAAAGGCAGCTTGGAGAGGAGAAAATGATGAACAGATCAAAAGAGAGAGTGAGACAATGTTTTCATTTAACTCAGGCCAAGTGTTTGGGTAGCACTACACCCAGGGAATGCCTATGTTACACCAAACTAAAAATGCAGAAGTTGCAACTAACAAGTAGAATGCTGTTACGGTTCAGCCCAAACCGACCCAGGAGGGGCCGGTTCAGACTTATAGAAGGTGGTCTAAGCCACCTCCTTTGGCTCCCACCTCCTAAGTAAGTGCCCCCATCCCCCTCCTTGGACGGCAATTAGAGAGAGGCAAAGAGAGGGCGGTTTAAGCATGAGGCCAATTTGAATTTGTTTGATATTAGGAAGCTTGTATTAGGAGGGGGTATTTAAAAGCATGAGAAGCTAGGGTTAGGGTTTTATGCTTTGATTTGTTTTCTCTTGTAGTTCCTTGGCGTCTTGGGCTCTAGATTCCTTGTCTAGAGATTGGGATAGAACGATCCTCCTCTCGAATTGAGGATCACTTGTATCTTGCTTTGTGTTTGCTTGTCTTTGATTCCCTTATTGTAATCCATCGTTTTGGGGTTGATTTCACCCAGATTTTTGCATTATTCTCGCTGTTTTCAACAATTAATGATAGGTTTGCATGCAAACTCAAGTATTTCCAATAGGGTTACTCGCAAACTCAAGTATTTCCTATCAAATTGGTATCAAAGCGTTGTCTTTGGACCATCGGCGGTTGAAATCTAGAAATTTCAGCGCAGAAATTTTATCCGGAAGAAGATCTTCTAGTAAATCTTGGGAAGAGTTATGGTCGGGAAGAATGTTGAAGTTTTGGAAAGAGAAATTGGGCAACTAAAATCAGAGTTGGAGGTAAAATTTTCTGATTTTAAAAATCAGATTTCCTCCAATAACAAACGGTTGGAAGGGAAGTTTGCCGTGATGGAAGAGATGTTGAAGAAATTGTTAGAAATGAAGACTAGTCCAGCGACATCAGAAGCAAGGGAAAACATCGGTGGCGATGGAAGAGGTGGAACCCCTAACATGTTAGGGGAAGGGAAAATCCATAAGTGGAGATCTTGGAGGGTGAAGATGGAATGCCTCCTCTAGAACCATTTTCTAGGGAGAAGAGAGGAATTTTATCGCAGAGGTGCTGAATTTGAAAGAAGAAGAGAAGAATTTGATGAAGGGGTTGGTTATGATCGCCGGAGAGAAGATCGTGACAACTGGAGAGCACCTCCTCTTCGTGGAATGGGAGGATATGGAGGATTCAAGGGCAACAGGGATGACCCAAAGCTGAGGAAATTGAAGATGCCCGTCTTCGAGGACGTGAATAGCCATGGTTGGAGATACAAGAGAAAAGGGCGAAGGGGTTTTAGATGTGAAGAAAAGTTAATGTCAGGGCATGGGTATAAGGACTGAACTCTTCTTGTGAGATGGAAGCGGGTTAGAGATGGAGGAAGAGGAGAAGTTGCATCTAGATGTGGCAGAAGTCTCCCTAAACTCAGTAGTGGGATTCACCCCGAATCATACTATGAAGGTGAAGGAAGAGATAGCGGATAGGGAGGTGATAGTGTTGATAAATAGTGGGACAACCCACAATTTTATTTCCACCCAGATTGTTGATCTACTGGGGGTGAAATTAGTTGATACAGGAGGCTACGGAGTGATGATGGGCACTGGAAATGTAGAAATGGGTAGAGGAGTTTGTAGGAGAGTGGTGTTGACCATTTAGGGGATACAAGTGAGGGAGGATTTTCTTCCCTTTGAATTAGGGAGTACATATGTCATCTTGGGCATGAAATGGCTGCAAACATTGGGGGAGACCAAGGTCACTGAGGATGGAACTAATGGTGGAGGGAAAGAGAATGATGATCTAGGGCGATGGAGGGTTGTCTAGGGTTAGAGTATCTCTCAAATTCATGATCATAACCATACAGCGGGTGGGAGGTGGATATTTGGTGGAATTGCAACGCTTGGAGAGGGTCAGAGTGGGAGAAGAGGGAGACATTCCTCTTGTAGTGCAACCAGTCATACAACAGTTCAATGAGGTGTTCCAGCCACCTCAAGGGTTATCACCACTCAGAGAACAGGAGCATGCAATCCTTCTAAAGGAGAGGGTGTCACTGATTAATGTACAACCCTACCGCTACCCCCAAATTCAAAAGGATGAAATTGAGAAGCATATTAGGGAGATGTTGGAGGCTGGGATCATCAAATCAAGTGTGAGTCCATTCTCTAATTCAGCCTTACTGGTCAAAAAGAAGGATAAGAGCTGGAGGCTTTGTGTGAATTATAGGGCACTGAATAAGGAGATAGTACCAGATAAATTCCTCCATTCGTGTGATTGACGAGCTCTTGGATGAGCTGTATGGAGCAATGATATTCTCCAAACTGGATTTGAAGTCTGGATACCATCAGATCCGAATGAGGGAAGAATATATCTCAAAGATAGCTTTCAGGACGCACGAAGGGCATTATGAGTTTCTAGTTATGTCATTTGGGCTTACCAATGCCCCTGTTATTTTTCAGCCACTAATCAACAGGGTGTTCAGACAGTACCTCCAAAAATTTGTTCTGGTATTTTTTGATAACATCTTGGTGTACAGTATAACTGATGAGGAGCATCTAAAGAACTTGAAGTTGGTCTTGGGAGTTCTACTAGAACATCAGCTGAGGGTCAACATGAAGAAGTGTTGTTTTGCCCAAACCAGAGTAGCATACTTGGGTCATATTGTGTCTAAGGAAGGGGTGGCAGCCGATTAGTCAAAGGTGGAGGCTATGTTGAGATGGACCTTAACTAAGAATTTGAAGGAGTTAAGAGGATTATGAGGGCTGACGGGGTACTACAGAAGATTCATAAAAGGATACAGCACTATCGCATGGCCACTGCCAGAGCAGCTAAAGAAAGATGAATTCTTATGAGGAGAGGCAGCCACAACAACATTTGAGAAACTAAAAAAAGCTATGACCACTATACCAGACTTCACTCAGGCCTTCATAGTGGAGATAGATGCTTTAGGATACGGATTGGGGGCAGTACTCATGCAGGATCGGCGACCCATTGCCTACTTCAACCAGGTGTTGGCAGCCAGAGCCAGGTTGAAATCAGTCTATGAGAGGGAGTTGATGGCCATCGTCTTAGCCATCCAGAAGTGGCGATCCTACCTGTTAGGTAAGCATTTCATTATCAGAACAGATCAGATGAGCCTGAAATACTTATTGGAGTAGCGGATGGTGACTGAAGAGAATCACAGGTGGTTGTCCAAATTGTTGGGGTATGATTTCAAAATTCAATACAGACCAGGAGGGGAGAACAAGGCGACAGTTTCCTTGTCCAGATGTATGGAAGAGATACAAACAGTGGTAGTGTATGTTCCTTTGATGATGGATTTGGAGGCCATTAGGGAGGAGAGCGCTATGGATGAGCAGTTGGGAAAGATCAAAACAAATTTACTAAGGGAAGGTGGTAGCCACCCAGGGTACTCAGTGGAGGAGGACAGACTGTTGTATCAAGGGAGGTTCATAATGCCCCAGACCTCAATCCGCATCCCAAACTTACTCCAAGAGTTTCATGAAAGCGTGGCTGGGGGGCATTCAGGTGTTCAAAAGACCTACAGGAGGTTAGCTTCAGAGCTTTACTTGAAGGGGATGCATAGAGATGTAGAGGAGATGGTGGCTAGGTGTGAGATCTGTCAGAGGAACAAATACCTGGTTATGTCGCCAAGAAGACTACTATAGTCGTTGGCTTTACCGGGACGTGTATTGGAGAAGATATCCATGGACTTCATAGATGGACTTCCCTTCAGAAGGCTTCATGGTGATTTTGATGGTGATGGATAGATTGAGTAAGTATGCTCATTTCATCCCCTCCAACATCCGTACACCATAGTGACAGTGGCTTCAGCTTTCATCAGAGAGGTGGTCAGATTGCATGGGGTACCAGAGGCGATAGTATCATATAGAGATAAGATGTTTCTCAGCCACTTTTGGAAGGAGTTGTTCAGATTACAGAGGACAGTTCTGAAGAGGATCAACCCCCAGACGGATGGCCAAACGGAAGTGGTCAACAAGAGCTTGGAGACCTAACTGAGATGCTTTGTGTCGGAGACACCCAAGCTATGGGCCAAGTGGCTATCATGGGCTGAGTGATGGTACAACACCTCTATTCACTCTATTTCTCAAATGACCCAATTCAAGGTGTTGTACGGAAGGGATCTTCCTCACTTGGTGCACTTTGGGAATAGCAGTACTCCAGTTTCTTTAGTAGAGTACTTGGGGGAGAGGGATAGAATGTTAGAGTTGAAAAAACATCTACTGAGAGATCAAGAAATTATGAAGAAACAAGCTGATAGGCACAGGAAGGGCATTCAGTTCGAAGTAGGAGAGAACGTGTTCTTGAAACTCTGACCATACAGACAGAAGATAGTCTCCAAAAGGAGAAATGAGAAGCTTTCTCCAAGGTACTTTGAACCGTATGTAGTATTGGAAAAGATTGGAGCGATAGTATATCGTCTGAAACTATCACCAACGGCGACTATACATCTGGTTTTCCATGTATCGCAATTGAGAAGAGCCATTGGAGATTATACAGCCAGCTCGGAGTTACCGGCAACACTTATTGAGGATTTGGAGGTGATTCTGAAACCCTTAGAGTTGAGGGGGGTTCGCCAAAAAGAAGATGAAACTAAGGAAATGCTAATCAAGTGGAAGAATATGCCTGACTTTGATGCCACGTGGGAACCATACGAGATGGTGAAACAGCAGTTTCCTAATTTTCACCTTGAGGACAAGGTGACTCTTTGGGAGGGCGGTTTTGTTAGGCCGGTTCATCCTGAACCGGCCCAAAGGCCGACTCAGGTCTCTAGGAGGCGAACATGTGCCACCTCCTTTACAGCTTGCCGCCCACACTAGTGGGCCCCACTAAGAGCAATTTGAGGAGAGAGGATTAGACGGCTAGGGTGAGAGGAAAAACTTGAATTAGGGACGTTTGAATTAGGGAATAAATGTATTAATAGTATGGCTTCTTTAGGGTTAGGGTTATGCATGCTTTGAGGGTTCTCTTGGAGTTTTTCTTTAGCGTCTTGGGCTCTAGATCCATCGTCAAGAGATTGGGAGAGATCGATCCTCCTCTCGAATTGAGGATCACTTCTATTTTGATTTAGGTTTGCTTTTGCTTTGAATTCATTATTACAATCTATCATTTTGGATTGATTTCATCAAGATCTTCGCATTATTTCGCCTGTTTTTATTAATTATTGCTAGGGCTGCTTGCGAACTCAAGTATTTCCTCTTATATTACTTGCAAACTCAATCCAATCAGCTTCATGCCTTTCACATTCAAAGGCGCATCAGGAAACAAGGAAAGTGAAGTATGGGCATAGATCCGTTCAAATCCTTACAGTTTCATAGTTGCATGAATATGTGATTACGTGATTGCCCTTTAAGAAGCAGTCAATACAAACCAATTTGAGAATTTACATGATTTCTACCAATTCCACTTGCATAAGTGATCTTTAAAATGAAACACAAACACAGAGAAAAGAGTAAAAAAAAATGTTGCATAACTTGCCTGTTGCTTAAAAATGCTAAGCTTGTTGCTAGGATAACGAGGCGACAACACACAAATGACTGATGAATGCTTAAAAAACCTTCTGGTATCTTCATCATGGGTTTGCATAACTCCTTCCTGCAACAAACGCTTATGATTAATGAATAGGTTATCTAAATACAGTTAGAACGTATCATGGAGTAATACGGATGAAGCAAGTTAACTCAAATAAACAGTTTAAAAATTATTTAGCCAAAATATAAAACACTTAAAACTTTGTCATATAATTTCATAAACATGTTGATGCATTTAGTAGTAACGTGCATCGATTAAAAAGGCGTTCGAGGCGGACGCCTCGAGGCGCGCCTAGAATCGAGGCGGAGGTCGGGCGAACTGAGGCTTAAGCCTCAAACGTCCGGGCGAGGCTTACGCCTTTTTCCACGGAGGCGTACGCCTCAATACGTGAGGCGCCGAGGCGCATCGAGGCAACGCCTCGAAAGGGAGAAAGTTACCTTCAAAGCCAGCGAGCCAACGAGCTCCCGTTGTTTCTTCTTATCAAAATGTCGTAACTTATGATCTGACAGGACGAAAGGTCGTCGAAGGAGCACAGTCGAACAGCCACAAAGGAGCCAAAGAAGCGACGCGTGTAATCTCTACACCTCCTATGAAGCAACGAAGCCAAACAACAAGGACAAAAAGAGAAGATGAAAGGCAAACCCTAGACGCAGCTAAGTTATTATTAATTAACTTAATTAATATAATTTAAATATTAATAATTAAGCAAATTAATTAAATACTTAATAGTATAATTAGTGCATAATTAATTGACTAATTAGTAATATCATTATTAATTAAATATTAATATAATTAGCCTAGTTAAATATAAATTAAAATATATATTAAAATATACAATTAATAATATTAATAATAGTTATTGAGTAGCTTGTACCGCTCAGTACATGCTCAGTACCGAGCCAGTACCGCTCGGTACTGAGCACGTATATGCTCGGTGCTGTGCAAGTACATGCTCGGTACCACTAGGTACACGCTCGGTACCAAGCCAATACCACTATGTACATGCTCGATATTGCTCAGTACATGCTCGGTACCGAGCCAGTACCGCTCAGTTCCGAGCCAGTACACTCAGTACCGGAGCGGTAACAAATGCTCGGTACCGAGCGGTACATGCTCGACACTGTTAATTACTTTATTTTTATCATTTTTTAGGCTTACGCCTCGATCCGCCTCGAGGCTTACGCCTCGCCTCGCTTAGCCAAAACGCCTCGATTCCCGATTTCGCCTTTTAAAACGTTAGTAACGTCTAAATACGTTGTAGAGAAAAAGACCAAAATGATCCCTCAACTCTTTGTGAGAGACCAAAATAATCCCTAACTCTTTTGATGGACCAATTTGGTCCCTCAACTTTTTAAAATGAGACAATTTTTATCCTAACATCCAATATTGGAGTTAATGATGTTAAATGTAAAAATATTTTGATCATCTTTTTAATTAAACATTTATTAAATATAATTTTCAAGTAATTATAATTTAAAAAAATTATTAAACATTTCTTTCATAAGAAAATTAATAATAATTTCAGTTTTAATTTCAAAAATCATTTTGACCCCTCAAGTCTTTAAAAATGAATCAAAATATAATTTTGATTCATTTTTAAAGACTTCAGGGATCAAAATAATCCTTTATTATAGTTAGGGACCATTTTGGTCCTTCGTAAAGAGTCAAGGGATCATTTTGATCTTTTCTCCAATATTATAGCATTGACTTAGTCATATCACCCTGGTTTACTCAAAGTCTCAATCACTAACACATACACTAGGATTGTTTACCAATCTCAATTTATTACACTCTGAGCATTGGACATCCTCTTATTAACAGATTTAGTTAAATCTCTTTTCATATATTGAACCTATTATCTTTAGCATTCATAATCTATCTATGGCCTAAAGAAAACATACACTCAGTCAACAAAACAAATCTTGATATATCTACTAGTTTCGATCAGTGGCATATTCTCCTTGGTAGAATCCTAATGTGCCAGTACACATCCTAGAAGCACCTCGAGTTATATCGATTTACATGTATTATTGCTGCTCTTTTTAGTCTAGTACATCATACAGAGATTGTAGTTAGAAAAGAGAGCCCTAAGTTTAGTCCTAATCTGTTGATCTCTAATTGGTTATGAAACCAGTAGGTTGCACTAGTCCAGATACACTGCATGTCATCGGTGGCCAAGTTTGACTTTCGCAAGTGACATTATGCTTGTCATTCTGTTATAACAATGAATTCAATAATATGATGTCAAATTGATGATTGTCTTACATAATTTTGCAAGCACATGTATCAAAATTCAACTAAAAAAATTCTCATCAAGACCTAATTTCATTGAAAATAGATCAAATTGTTGCATCCAGACAATCAAGATGATTTGAATAAGCCCTTATGTGTTAAGATCAAATATTGTTTTATCACACACCAAGAAAATGATTTATTGTGGACAAAAAGAATAATTTTTATCTTGATGATTATTTTAAAATTATTAAAATGGAAAAAATGTTTTAATTATATTAGAAATATTACAGAGCATTGCACTATACGAGGCTCTTCATGGGAATTGTTGCGTCCAGGAGTATTCGCGACGGTAGAGAAATATCATATTTTACGTCTTAGCATTGTACGAAAATCCGGCACGCACCAAGATTTTTACGTGGAAAACCCCTGAAAAAGGGGGAAAAACCACAGGGCCTAGCCCAGTTTGAATGAATCCACTAGTATTGCAGTCGATTACAAATGAGGCCCTTCCTTGGTGGAAGGTATTACATGATGTAAATACAAAGAATCACTATTGACATGTTTATTTGGTCGGGAGGACCGTAGTCGGCGGGCGACGGAGGTCGGAAGGCTTGTAGTCGGTGAGCGACATAAGTCAGTAGGACGTAGTCGGCTGGCGACTGAGGTCGGAAGAACTGTAGTCGGCGGGTGACGTAAGTCAGAAGGACCGTAGTCGGTTGGCGACGGAGATCGGAAGGACTGTATTCGGTGGGCGACATAAGTCAGGAGGACCGTAGTCGGCTGGCGACGGAGGTCAGAAGAACTGTTGTCTGACGACGAACATTAGAAGGACGACGTCAGGTAGAAGTCCAACAATGGAAGAAATCCATCTTCGCGTAGACGTCCAGCGTAGTCCGATAACCGGTAGAAGTCTGGCATCGGGTACAGACTTGGCGAAGAGTGAAGGTCCTACGTCGGGTAGAAGTCCAAAGTCTGTTGGTGGCAGAGGAGAAATCCTGCCTCACTTGGGCGGAGTTTCGGCGTCAGGAGGGAACTCTGTCGTTAAATGAGAATAATTTCCACATCCCGTGGAAGTTGGGAAGAATACTAGCGTTCTCCCAAATATCTGGCAGAATCCCGGCGTGTTCGGGCGGCGGGAAGAGCTCCAGCGGTGGTCGAGGAGGAGAGGATTCTCTTTTTCCCCTTTCTCCTCTTCTTCCCTTTTTCTTCTCTCTCTTCACCCCCCCCCCCTTTGGTGTAGAATGAGGGCTCTATTTATAGTTTTTCTGGAGTGGCATAGCCCGTAAATAGGCGTGAGATCAAGGGCGAATTGGGAGTGTTTTGAATGGACGGCCGATATCGAATCCTTTGATCATGCACCGTTCGTTGGGCATTTGAGGGCCTTAATGATGTCGGAATTCGGCGATCTTGGGCTCGTTGGATTCGTCTCGTCGAGCCGCTCGATTCGAGTATAAGCTCGTCAAAATCGGAGACAGTTTGGTAACTCAAAGTGCGGATTGAACCTTCCAACAGCGCTTTGAGCCCTTGATTCGGACTCATTTATGCTCGGATTGGGTTGATCTTGGTGTCGTTGGGTTCGTATTTCCGAGACGCTCAGTTTGACTGTAAGTTTGCTGAAATCGGAGTTCATGTGCTCCCGGATTTAATTTTTGAAGTTTCCAACTTGATTTTTGCCTCGAGATTCGTGCTCGATCAAGATAATTTTTGCATGACGTATCAGGAATAAATGCATCTCCTTAGTGTTGATTTGTGGTTGGAAAAACAAAACTCTTAAGACATTAAGTGGTTGATCAAGCTATTGAGAAGATTCATCTAATTCAAGAATGACTTCGTTTGGTTCAGAAGTATTAGAGAATATATTTTAAACCTAATATTAAAGATTGAATTCAAAGTTGGAGATCATATTTTTCTCAAAGTTTCACCAATGCATAAAGTAAGAAAATTCAACACAAATGGAATGCTTCAACCCCGCTTAATTAGACCTTTTGAGGCAATTTAAAAGAGTTACCAAAGTTTATTATTGCTTAGCACTTACTCTAAGAGTTGTAAGAGTGCATAATATCTCTTTATTATGGAGCTATGTGCATAGGTGATTCCCATATGATTCAATTCGAGCCCTTATTGTTTCAAGAATAACTGAGCAATGGTGATTCTCATAAAATTCAATTAGACATGTATGATAATACCTTATGTGGTTGAATGTTGATAAATTAGCATAAAAATAAATTAATTACCATTTTCATATAAATGATCATAAACATCTTTATACTGCAGATCATTTTTGGACATGTGATAGTTATTTTTTATGGCTATACTATTATGCCAACCTAGTGATTTGATAGCATTCATTACATTGATATTACATAGCAAATCATGTATTTTCTATTATTCATATTGCATGTCCAATGCCTTGTCAATTATAACTATATAAATAGGAGTTATTTATTGGGTTTTAAATATCAAACTCATTGTAAAACTTTGTTTATAGTAAATTCAACAAGGTTGTCTGGTAGACCATCACTACACGAGCAGATGTTTCAACAATAGTATTTTGCTTGATACTTAAGTTTATGTTTTTGTTTGTATTTAGACTTCTGTTGAGTTTGGGTAGCTTTTTCTTATGTAGTTCTTTCTTTCATTAACTTCTATTAGTTGTTGTTATTTCTCTGTTGAATTCTTATTATACACAATGTTTTTGTAGTAATATTACTTTTTCGCCATGTCTATTTTTACATTTTCAGCTTACAATCACTTGTACATGAAACTTTTCCTCTCTTGAATACAAAACAAATATAATCAATCTTAACTTCTTGAAATTATTCAAGAGTTGTGCTCAACTCTTTCATCATATGTCGCGTTTCATCTTCCAAACTCAAGATGTGACCTTTAAGCCCTTTTGTTGAGTGAAATAATGTCCTCTTCAAATGAATAGGTTAGAGATTCAAAACAAAAATCCCCCCACTAAACAAAAAAGAGGATTTACACGCATAACACTTAATTATATTCTATTTACATATTTAACATCAAAATTTTCATATTTATTCACATATCAGTATATTACTCAACTGGAGGGGAGGTTAACACGACTTAAGGGGAAAGTAGTGGAGGATGATAGGTCATGCAAATATAAGTTTTGAATGCTAAATATAAAAATATGATAGAATTAAGTGTTATGTATGTAAATTCCTCCAAAAAAACTACACCTAACCCGAAACAAACAAACTTCATCATTTTTAAAACAGTTCTAACTTCAAGCAACAAAATGGTACCATATAAGGCTATGAAATCAAAATGCAGCAAGCGGCATAATCTATTCATATGCACAAAAAAGTTTAAAACAGCGAACACATAATGGTGAAGTATAATCTTACCGTCCTGATGAGGAATTTATCATGCGAAGTCCTATCATCCCAAACTAGCAAGCAAACCCTAACACCTTCCTCAGACTTGTACTTAAGTAGCTCCCCCAGGGTAAGTTTCCCACCGGCCGGCAATGGCCGGGTTTGCTCGCGAACCAGCCTTACCTTGTCATAAATCGACCATCCAACAATATATATCAGTCGATGGGCTTCAAGAATGGCATGGCACATGTCCTCCCAGCAAGTTCCCTGATGAAAGACCCTCCCTTCTTCAAGCTGTATCGGCTGCAGATCCATCTCCTTCACATGAGCATCCTGGTAAAGCGTCACCATCCCGCCCTTCCTCACCGGAAAGTACGTCCCCTGAACCCCAAGCCTGTGGGGATTTCCGGCGACGGGATTTTTACCTACAGGGGTGAAACGGAGCTTCACATAGAGCAAGGGTGCGTGTTTGAGGGCGGTCCCCGAGGGCCCAAGAATCGGAAGCCATTTTTCGATCAGCTCTCCGGCTGCAGCCACATCGCCGGCAGGAACGGAGGCGGTGCCAATGAGCTGGGCGCCGCAGACGTCGTTGTCCTTGACGCGAAACTCGATGTGAGGTGTGCGATGAGCAAGCGGTAAGTAGAAGTGTTGGTTCCATCGAGGGTTTTGCTCGTTGGATATGACTTGGGTTCGAGCGACGGTGGAGCCGGCAACGAGGACGGCAACGTAGGGATCGCTAGTGATGGCTTTGGCGATGTGAGCTTCCGGGTGGTGATGGTGGTTAGGACTTCGAGTCTTGGATCGGAAAGGGAGGGAGAGGCCGCAGGCAGTGAAGCAGCGGCGGAGCTGCTCCGTGAACATATCCTTGTTCGGCAGGTTGCTGGCTTGGAGAATATACAGGTCGAGGTCGCCGTGGAGGAGAACATCTTCCATTGTGGCCTGGAAAATCTACGAGCTGGAGGAAGAAGAGAGGCAGCCATTGGAGGGCAGCAGAGGACGTATAAGAGGCAAGGAGAGCAGAGAATCGAAGAGAAGTAAAGCATATGGTTCCTTGCGTTAGCCCTGCGCGGCAATCACAGCAAAAACAAAAGACACAATTGCAGCTTTTCTGTTTCTTCGCGGTGTACTATTAAATTAGTCCTGTTTGGTTCAAAGCAGGCTTCAACTCAGGGTAGTATTTACGAGTAATTCAGAATTTAGCATTCATAAAATTTTGAATTCAGCAAAATAGCAAAAACAGCATTACAAGCACGTGATTTTGCAGCATTACATTACGGCAATAACTCTGATCTGCCGTAATTCTAGATACATGCGGCTTGCAAACCGCAACCGGTGCTAAAAATAATTTTTTTATATATATTTTTTTTTCTTAATATCTCACCACCACCTATCCCTTCACTCACATTGCTTGGTGGCCGGGAAGAAAGAAAAAATATAGAAGATGAGACCACAAATAAAATTACTGTGGATCGTTTTCATTATTTATGGTACATATTTTATTCTATTTGAAGTAAATTACTAAACTCTTATTCTATTTTTCGATGGTTTTGAATTATATTAAATTTATCTCTTCTAAATATGTTAAAAATACATTCTCATGATTTCGTAAGCTTTCACTATACAACTTGTAATTATAAATTTGATACGATTTTATTGCATTTTCAAAGGTTAAATCTTTTATACTAAGTTAAGTGTTGCAGAGATGAGGATGCTTAGGCAGATGAGTGGCTTGACCCTTAGAGATAGGATACGAAATGAGCATATACGTGAAAAGGTTGGAGTAGCTCCAGTGGAAGATAAAATTAGAGAGAGTCGTCTTAGAAGATTTTGTCACATTAAATAGAGGCCTTCCGATGATCCGGTTAGGAAAGTTTAGATATTAGATTTGACTTATGTTAAGAAAGGTAGAGATATACCTAAAAAGGCATGGTTAGAAAATATTAGAGATGATCTTTCTTTATAATATTTAAATGAGAATTTGACTTTTAACCGGACACAATGGCGAAAAAGCATTCATGTAGCCGACCCCACGTAGTGGGACAAAGATTTTATGTTGTTGTTGTTGTTGTTATTGTTGTTGTTGTTGTTGTTCGAAGGTTAAATTTGTATATAAAAGTTTCTACGTGAAATTAGTATGAAAAAGATATATTAACAATGGGTGAAAAGTGATACACCGTGATTTGATTTGGAAATATTGAAATGAAACATATGCTAAAATAATTGATAGGATTAATATGTATTAGAATGTAATATTGATATTGGTATAAATATGATAAGATAGAACAAAATAATTAGTATATGTATATAGAATTGGGAGGCCAAATTGCTAATATGAAACGCTATAAGGTGATGTGAAAAATAATGTAATGATTGATATCAAATACATATGATAATCCCACGTAATACCCTCAATATCCACGTGATTTATTGATTAAAAGTCATAAGGGGCTGGAGGCTGATCGGGAGTTAGAATATAATTTTGATTGGTAATTCGACCCCTAGTTGTCAAGCCTTTATTTTTTACAGCACCCAAAGCCACGGCCAACAGCCCCTGCACCTTTTCCTATTATCAACTCTGATTACCACCATCGAACATATTGTTGGCTATTCAACTTCCTAGTCGCCACCGTCGGTAGCCCCTCCTTATCCCAAAGGTAACAAGATCCCACTCTTTATGTTGTTAAAGCCTACTTATAGATCCTACAATTCAATCAACAGCATGATAATGAATAAAGTAGTATCCATGGCATTGCATGCTAATAAAAAACATATACATTAAAGGATAACAAATCTTAATGGATGATAACTATGAGCTTCAGTCACTTTGTTTGTATTAACTCTAAAATCAAATCAATACAGTTATCAATACCACACATTTTATAAACGAATGAATGTTATAGAGATCAAAAGTAAATGGAAAGTCACTGTATGCCCATTAGCCCCAACTGCTACCCACAACAAATTATCTTCCCTTCCTTCCCAAAGCAGCTTACGCATGCATTAGAGGTTATACATACTTAATATCAATTAATTTTATCTTGCTGTCTATGCTAAATTACTAAGGTGACATTAAGAAAGCGAGTAAATCAAGACATAGAGTTTAATTTTTTTGTTGGATGAACAAGGAAGAGAAGGAAGAGACACCTCCCCAACCACCCCCGGACTTTCACCCGACAGCCGACTGACGCCAGAGTTCTGCCCGGCCGCCGACTAATGTCAGACTTCTCCCGACGTCGAACCTCCACTTATCATCGTATTTCTACCCGACACCATACTTCTACCCATCGTCGGATTTTCACCGGACTTCTCCCAACGTCGGACCTCCGCTCATCGTCATATTTCTACATGATGTTGGACTTTCGCTCATCACCAGACTTCTATCCATCGACAGACTTCTACCCAATGTCAGGTTTTACCCATCGCCGGATTTCGATTCGACATCGTACTTTCGCTCATCACCGGATTCCTAACCAATGACTTCTGCTCGTCGTCGGATTCCTGCCATACATCGAACTTCTGCCTATCACCGTAATTCCATCAGACTTCTGCCTGTCGTTGGACATTCATCGGTCTTCTATCTGACGCTGGACTTATGTCCATCGTTGGACTTCTATCTAACGTCATCCTTCCGACCTCTGTCGCCTGTCGAATGTGGTTCTTCCGACTTACGTCGCCCATCGACTACAGTCCTTTCGACCTCCGTCACTAGACAATGGTCCTTCCGACCAAACGAATACGTCAACAGTGATTCTTTGTATTCCCATCGTGTAATGTACTTCATATAATGTACATCAAGCAATGGCTTTCCCCCCAAGGAAGGGCCTCATTTGTAATCACTTACAAATACTAGTGGATTCATTCAAACTGGGCTAGGCCCCATGGGTTTTCCCCCTTTTTAGGGATTTTCCATGTAAAAATTTTTGTGTATCTTCTAAATGTTGCACCCGTTCTCTTATCTGATTGCGTGATAGATCTTCGTACAATGCTAATACGTTAAACTTTATAATTCTCTACCACTGCAAATACTCCAGGATGCAACAAGTATAGTGATCACAAACATTGTATGCACTGTATAACATAATGATTTGATCATATCAACATGTGCTCATTACTTATATGTCGACCTACACATATGTCTTGCATCCTATGATTCACAAAGCTCATGTATGTCATTCGAGTCATGGCCTTAACATATGCATTACATCGCATTCATCTCTATCTTGATGAGTTAGTTACATTAATCTATATTCATCATTCAATATGTAAGTCATTGCATATATCTTGCATCGCACCTTATCTTTACGTTGACGGTTACTTATGAGTATTATTAATTCAGCTTCTTACACATGTTCTTCTATTTGCTTGCAATGGACTCATATTGTATTTCATGTTGGTTGGCATGTTGTGGTTCATTGAGCCTCGTGAAGAGGCTCCTTCGTTGTGTCAGGGTATACGTATATGCCCTGACTAGCTTATAGTCAGATATATTTTATGTAACTTGTAAAGACCTCTTCTCTATATGAAAAATAGCGACACTTGCACACGCATGACTGTCATTTTATTTTCACCCATAAATTCATGATAGGATGTATTAGACATTGGTTAAAAGTTGGTACACTAATGAAGCCTTAACTTTATTAGTTGAGGCTTGCTCTCCTCTGTGAATCTTAGAGATCTTCATGGTCACCTAGGCCTGTGATGTAGGCCACCTACTTGTGTCATGTGTATCTTCTTCTTTTTTTTTTGGCACAAAGTAGACACCGCTAAGTTATTTTCCTTTAGGTTTTAAAATATTTAAATAATTATAAAAAGTACCACTTAATGATTTTTTAGCCTTTAAATATTATTTTCATGAACATGTCAAAAATATATAAAAAAATTGAAATAAAACCTAAGCTTTAACATGTTAGACTAATCTTATATTAATTTTATGTTATATGTCACTTTGTAAGTGATAGATCTAGTTATATTATTTGAACCTAATATAGAACCTATGTTTGAGATTCATTTGCTGCAAATAATAATAAAAGGGGAATTATTAAAAATCAAATTAACAAAACTAGTTGATGGAACATAATTAATGAACTCATGATCAAAATTAGTTAGATAATGAGGTGGTTGTTTAATAACTTAGTTTTATGAGGCTATTAAATTAACCCCAAGTATGATAAAATAAGCCTCACAACACTCATATAAATAAAGAATTTTGCCTCTTAACTTAAATAATTAATTAATAAGCCATTAATTAACCAACTAAATGAATATGTATCTACAAGCTAGTCAAAGGATGATTGCTGGGTAATCCTGGCCTACAAGACTATTAAGTTAATTCCAATGAATGTTAAATAAATCTCATAGCCTTGATTTAACAAAGGTAATCATTATTCGACTAAAATAATGAGTAATAAATCATTAAGAATGAATCAGTAATGAATCAATTAAAATAGTAATTACAAATCAAAACCCATTAAAAATAAATAAAATTAATTAGATAATGAGGTTGTTGTTGGATAACTTAGGTTTATGAGGCTATTAAATTAACCCCAAGTATGATAAAATAAGCCTCACAACCTTAATATAAACACATAATATTACCTCTTCACTTAAATAAATAATGAATAAACCATTAATTAACCAATTAAATGAATTTGAATCTACAAGCTAAGTAAAAGGATGATTGTTGGATAATTCTGGCCTACGAAACTATTAAGTTAATTCCAATGAATGTGAAATAAATCTCATGACCCTAATTTAACAAAGACAATCATTATTTGACTAAAATAATCAATAATAAATCATTAAGAAACTGATGCTTTCATAAATTCTATTATATTCAATTTGGAGAATAAATATGCATCAAATTCATAAAGCTTTAATGATTAAAATGATTAATAAAATTTAATTTATATTTATTTTCTTTTATATCACTCATTCCGTAAATGAAGTTTATAGGTTGGACTACCTCGAGCCCTAATTAGGCCTCGATGCAGGGCTACGTGTCCTATGGAAGCCTTAGTCCTCATGCCCATTATGATAACATCATGAATGAATAGACGGGATATAGGTGTTAAATCATAAACCTTATTAAAAAGAAAGAAAATTTTTATTTTTAAAGTATTTTCAAATACAATATATACGATGTTGGAAAAGTAAATAAACTTCAAGTTAAACCCTAGTACTTTGACCTATGTCATGTTTGTATTTATCTCTGTACCTATTCCCTAATCTATGTAAGGTATATAAGCTATGCTATCTCAAGCTACGAGGCTACGTGTTTTAATGAGGTTTTGGTCCTCATGCCCATTAACAATGCCACGTGCCTCATAAGTTAAGGTATAAAGGTTTAAAGGTCTACATGAATCATCCCCCTTCTAAAAAATTTAAGACCACATTTAGGAACCTAACCTAACCCCTTTAATACCTAAGTGTCAAATCTAAAGTCAAGTAGAACCCTCATATTTCCTTAGGTTATGGGTTTTTTATTCATATGTCACCATTTTAAAATTAATCAACCTTAAACATATGAAGATTAGGATTTTTTGGTTGATAATAGGCCCACTTAGTGTATCACCCATTAGCCCTACCTTGAGTCTTAGGAAATCAAGGAAAGGTTAACTAACCTTATAGCCTTATAATCACTCTAGCCTTAATTAGGTGTAGGACTAAAGATGGGTCATTTATCCCTCAATTCTTTATAACTCTAGCATAGGTCAGGGCTTATGTATTTGGACTTTTTATATTATAACTTAATGATCAAAGCTATAACCCTAAAATTGAGTTGTAATTAATCCAACTTAAATGGCTAATTACTTGAAGAGAAATTTTTTAGTTACTAAATTAAATAATATGAATTGACCTTATAACTTAAACCTTTCACCTCTGGGTACTTAGGTAACACTAATTTTGCACACACTTAAGTGTTGTATATGACACTTTCATGTAGGCATCATATAGCGTAGGGTGTAACTCCAAGTATTTTTTTTTTAATTGTACACTTTGCATTTATGATGATGTGATGTTGTATTTTTTATTTGAACTATTTATGGTTATCTTATTTTTTATATTGTGGACTAATGTTTGGGCATTTGTCCTTAAGTGATTAGACTTTTTATAGAGATATTTTATGTAGACGGACACATTCTCAAAGGGCTGATAAAAATATTATCATAATAATTATAAATGTACTCTTTAACATGTACTATAAAGATTACTATGTCATTTAAAATGTGGTCTAAGGATAAGGTTTGGATGTATATATGATTGTTTTATTATAGACAATTTTATATAATTTTTGGTAAAGTTAAGGAGCCTATAATGTGAGGCTATAAAGTGATGCTAGTTTAGTTTTATTTCTAGCTTTTTGGTTTCATATATTCTTTTGTAGCTAATAACAAATATTGTATATATTCTTTTGGACTTTGGACCTTATAGTAGAATGTAAATATTGACTATAAAAATAAAATTGCATTAAGTTGTTTATATTTATTTATATATATATTTTTAATGAAATTATTTAATTAGCTCTAATTATCAATTATCTGGTTAGCGATGATCTCATTGTTAAAGAATATTAGGTGTTAATTGAACATAATAAAAGAAAATAAATTCTTCCACTTTAGATCTCAGGGCATGATAGTGTGTGAGGCTACTTCTAATGGAGCTAGCTCTTTTGTACATGTTGTGTGAGAATTGTACTTGTGCAGAGAGAATGAAAACGTCTTTACTGATTAGTAAAGAATTTTTTGGTCATTTCTATCATTATTTTATGTCTTGTAGATTTATTTTATTTGGTCAAATGAAAATGGTTAATTTTATCTTCTTGATTGGCTAAATTAGATTTTCTAAGCTTATGATAATTTATTAATTAAGTATTGCATATAGTATATTTGTGATTTCATAAATTATTTAACAATATTTTTAATTTCTCCATGCCTCATAGTGGGACAAAGGCTTGATGATGTTGTTGTTGTTGTTGTATAGGTCATGTATAAACTTAAAATATAGTGTGATATATACCCTTGACGAAGAAGTAGAAGAAGAAATAAAGGATTTAAAATGTAATTTGCCATGCATAAACATATGATAGTTAGGGTTATGGGATCTTAATGAGATAGTAAAGTTGTATTTGGGAGGAAATCCTAACTAATGTTCCAACGTGCTCTAATAGAGATGATGAATACTTATGGTCTGATTTACATCAACAATATAAAGGAATCTATCTATTACAAGCATGCATTTTTAAATATCATATATTCAAAGTTTTAAAAACTATTGCATTGGTCTTTTGTAACTATAGCTTTTTTACTTTTAATTGCATCATCTTTGATAAATGACTGATAAGATAAATATAGTAGTTTTATTAAACATTACTAGAATGAGATTAGGATAATTCCAAATTATCATGAGAGCGATATTCGTCTCATCACTTTATTACTTCACAAAACACGTGCACTTGCGTTGACATTAGCATAACAACTAATATTTAATAGACCAAATAGTGTGCGAATAACCTATCACCCCTCCATGTGTTCCCCTCTGAAATTTAAAATCTCTTGATTGTGGGTGAAGAAATAAAGTAATTTCAATCTAATTTTTTATTTGCTTCCCCACAATTATTTTCTCTATCCCTTCTTGTTTTTTTTCCAAAGGTAGATATTCCACTCTTTCGAAGTTTTGTCTCATTGCTTCCTTTTGTGATAAGAAAAAGGGATTGTAACTTCTTTTCTTTGGAAAATCAACATGTCAAGCATTTTACTGATGCAATAAGGTACAAAATAATCAAATTAGGATAATTAGATGGATTTTGGACTTATTCACTACTTATTGATATGTATATGAGTCATAGACATTATGCAAAAAGAATTGGAGAGCGTACGCACATAGAGAAATGATAAACAATTTGTAATTTTAATAGAATAAAATAATTGTAAATTATGAGTAATAAAATAATTATAATACTAAGAATAATAAAAGGACATTAATGTGATAGATTTTAAGGAGATTAAAATAAATAACAAAATAATCATTCTTCATGATTGCATAAAGAACCTTCCATGAATATATTTCATAACAAATGGAATAATTGAAGTTATCATTCCTCAAAACATATATTTCTTCAACTCATTATGTTCACACACATAGTGTCACAAATGTGAATAGAAAATTTTCACTTCCTTTATTAATGCATCTCCTTTTAGTATTTACCTTTCCTACAAATCGTTTATTGTCTTAATTAATTTCATAATTCTGTTTTTTTTTTTTTTCTAGAGAGATCTTGCCCATACTAGATAGTAAAGAGAGAAAACATGAAAAGGAAAATATACTAGTTTTCCCTCCTCTTCTATGATAAGGCTTCCTCTTGCAAGCAATAGGATGCTCCTTTTTTTAAGGGTTTTGGGTTCTTAGGAAGAACATATAATATTCTCGAACCAATAGATAAAGCATTAGATTAAGTGAATAATCTTAATTGAAATCCTCATGTTGACCTAATCCATAAATAAATAAAAAAACTTTGGTCTAAAGGCCTGACACATTTAATGATCGAAATCATATTAAGGACCTTAGTTTGGAACGGCTTTCTTGCTACTTCTTGATTCGACCAACTAGTTATCAATGATGGCTTCCACATAGCATAAGAAGACAAAATCTTAGTGACTATAAATTATATATTCTTGAATTTTTAATGTATTATTTGAATGTAACTCATCTTGATATGTTGATTGGGAGTTTTGGTAGATGATAATTAGCTAAAAGTTTTTGAATTTGAGGCTTACCAATTTATTATGTGTTTATTTTAATTGGCCTAAATATCCTAAAAATAATAATAATCAAATAAGGATGAGATATTTTACTAATAATGTCTAAAAAACTTATAAAATTACTACAATAAATTATTTAATAAATAAATCTATTCTTTCCGCTCTGTGACAACATCACGGACTGTGGCTTAATTTCTTCTAGGGGTGTAAGTGAGTCAAGTAGGCTCGTGAGATTGCTCGAACTTGACTCGGAAATGAGCTCAAGAGTCGGACTTATTGAACTTCGAGCTCAAACTCAAGCTCGTACATTAAATGAGCTCAAATTCGAGCTTAATGAGATTCGATTCGTTAGCTTGAGCCTCAAGAGTTCGGCTTATTTAATATTATATTTAAAAAAAAATACATTACTTGTATTAGTAAAAAAACCTATTGTTTCTAGTAAAAAAATATTGATTGGATTTAATGCATTAATGACAGCTCAGTTTTTTTTAAAGCTGGCAGCAAGTGTTATCTTTTTAAATATATATATATATATTAAAAAAATACTCCAAAATTAACCTTTAAATGTTTATCTGCAGTAATAAATGTAGCTAATGTTGTGTTTAAAAAAAATAAAATAAAATAAAGCTGCTAAAAGCCTAAAATTGCAATTTTTTTATTAAAAATACATTAAAAAAAGCTGAAGATTCATTAATTTTTCGGACACGCCTTCTTCTTTGAAGCCATAAAAAAAGCTGCCAAACCTTTAATCTAAAGTTTGAATTTTTTGTTTCGTTCTTCTTCATTTCTTATGGAGCGGGGTGATCATGGCCGGTTCTCGCTGCAGAAGAATAAAGTATAAACTACCCTAGACGGCAAATGGGCAATAGGCGGTTCCCAATTTAAAAATTTTAAATCATTTCCTCGCGCTCTTCTTCCCCTGCCCACCCAAGAGAAGCTTCGCCTACCCAAAACTTTCTCATCTACTCAACTCTCCCACTCCCATGGGCTGCGTCTCCTCTTCCTTCCTAGATGACGAAGCTGGCAACCTTAGCCCCGGTTTCGGCCATCACATCGTCTCCCTCACCTCCACCACATACGGCCTCCTCTCTAATCTTGACTCAGCCACTCCTTACCAAACCCCTCCTCCTCCTCCTCCTCCTCCTCCTCGGCTTCCATTGTCTGGACCCCCTTGCTCCATCTCCCCTGCTCCTCTCCGCCGCCCCGAGCCTGAAATTATCAACTCCTGGGAGCTAATGGCCGATCTCGACGTCTTCACCCCTCTCAAACCCTTAAACCACACAATACCCCTCAACCCAGGAAAAGAAAACACCCACCGCGCTCTTCACTTCCCCGATCCCACCAAAAAGGCCAACATCCTCCGCCCTTCCAACACCACCATCCCGCCATGGCGCCGCATACTAGAGTCATTCGAGAAGCGGTGCCCTCCAGGAGGCGAGAAAGCTGTGGTTCTCTACACCACGACACTTCGCAGCATACGCAAGACGTTCGAGGACTGCAACGCGGTGCGCGCAGCGCTCGAGGGGCTCGGCGTTTGGGTTCTGGAACGCGACGTCTCCATGGACCTAGGATTTCGCGAAGAGCTTGGCCTGCTAATGGCCGGTTCGGTTGCTTTGCCGAGGGTATTTGTCAGAGGGCGGTATATAGGTGGGGCGGAACAAGTGCTTCGGATTCACGAGGAGGGAGGACTCGGAGTCCTCGTTGAAGGGCTGCCGAAGGTTAGGCATAGCGGGGCTTGCGATGGATGCGGAGGGGCGAGGTTCCTGCCCTGTTTCAGATGTAGTGGAAGTCGGAAACTGGTTGTACCGACGGGCGAAGGAGGGAAAGGCGGCGGTCTAGAGTGGCGGAGGGGAAAAACAGTGAGATGTCCGGACTGTAATGAAAATGGACTGATGCTTTGCCCCATCTGCAGCTGATCAGATCTGCCGCTTTTTGAATTTGAATTTTTGCTGTCGAATTGTGTCCGTTGTGTATTGCCAAAGTTCTTTTTTTTTTAATGGAAAATTCTGAGTTCCATAGTCTTTCTTTTTTCACCTACAATTCCAAAGTCATTATGTTTAAATTTCTGTCCTGATAAAATACGCTTGGGATTTGGAGTCCGGGATGTTCCCCCAGTGAACCGCGCTGGTGTGGTCTCTTTAATTAATGGTGATGCATCTTGGCATCGGACGTAATAATTTTTCCATGTTTTCAATGATCTCTTTCAGAAAAAAATATGAGGCAAAGCCGCTTTTGATCACATTAGGGTGGATTTATTAGGTCCAGATTTAGCGCTGAAGTCTAACACGGCCAATAAAATAAAAAAGATGGCTTCGGTTGGGTTAAAAAATGCTCAATATTTTAAAAATAGGAAATTTACAAGCATATCATGTAATGTAATAAACCATATATTTGATTAGCAAGGTGGGTATTTCATTAGCAATGAACAACATAACCACATGAAGTCACCTCTTGCCTTTGTAAGTGTTTGTGTTCAAATTAGTCCATCTTCTATTCTACTATGCTATATTCACATCAACAAAACTAATTAAAATTTACCTAGGAAATTCAATATGATTGACAATTTAGTGCTTGTTCCTCTTTTACTTCCTTTATTCATGATGATCTTTTGTGCCATCAAGAATCCTCAACACAAGTATTTGGCTTTTAGAGGTAGAAGCAAGAACAAGACATCCTCAGATAAACGATCCAAATATTCTTTATCCCTCATAAACTCATAATAAATGATAAATGATCAGCACATTTGATAACTTCTTTAATTGATACCACTTTCGACTCTGCTCCATGTTTTCGTCGTCAAGACAATATCATATTATATACACCATAAATTCATCACCGTTGTTGTCAGCCACCACCAACCTTTGGCCACCATCATTGTTAACTACTAACCATTGCCCAATCTATGGCTGTTAGCAGCCACTCGCCACCCTCCACTGGCAACTCATTGTCGACTGCCCACTATCACCGTGGCCAACACTGCCATGCCACCGGCTACTAAGTCCACCATCTTTGGAGTTTACGTAGTATTAATTTTATTTTAAGTAAAAAATAATAATAACGTGTATTATTTTACACTCATTCAAACAATTCAAAAACATTTTGAATGCATTGTATTTATCTTACAATCCCTTTTCAGCAAACTAGATAGCCCATTAGTTTTTTTTTTTTTTTTTTTGGGGGAAAAAAAAGTTGTTTAAT